AACAGATTCATTTTTATATGTTTTTTATCTGATCTGAACATGAACTTGTCGTTGTCAGGAGCAACTGATTTTGCCAAAGCCAAAACGCCAGGCATAAAAGTTTTTATTCCAAAGCTTCTCTTCTATACCATATTCATGAAAAAAGCATGTACATTTTTACTGAAACTATACGTCTTTTTGTGTGTTTCTTGCCAGTTTTCTCGAGTTTTCGTATCGTGTTTTATATCAGTCAACTTTTCAAATTTCAATTCTTGTCAGCCTCGCCACAGAATAGGAAGTTATACCAGAAGCGTAACTCGAGCAAATATTTGTCCGCGTTTTTACAAGCGATTCGTCATCAATCACGCCATCCTGGCTAGTACAACCGGCACTTTGTACCTACCAAATCCTGATAAAACCTTCCGGCTGTACTAGCCAGGATGGCGTGGCCTGACGTGAGCGAGTTAAAATTTTCGTGGACGTCAAACAATAAGGGAAACGACTAGAGTTACGCTTCTGGTATAACTTCCTATTCTGTGGCCTCGCTTTGAAAATACACAACTGCACTGATCTCAAATTAGTTCGCAAGCAACACTGGAATTTTAATGAATTTAATTTTTACATCTGATAAAAAATAAACACGTTATTCACTGGCAGTGTCGGTCCGGATGAGAAAAACTGTGCCCTCGGTCTTGAAAACGTCCCTCGCCCTTCGGGCCGTTTTCAAGACCTCGGGCACAGTTTTTCTCATCCGGACCTCGCAGCCGGTAAATAACATATATATATGTACTGCATATGGTGTGGTTTTCTGGGCACACATGCACTGCTATTCTATCGATAGATGTGAATATTTATTTCAGAACCATCCACAGAGATTCATGTTGATTCTGACACTACATGCAGAGATATAGCTCTGTTTATCGAGCGTTATTAAGTCATCGCCAAAATATTCCGTGCACTCAATTCGGAGATAAAACTAGCTACCACTCCCCGCGCTGACTCGATAACTGAACAGCTAGCGCAACGATCTAGAAGCCAGAATTTTCCGTTGTTCTCTGTAGTGTCAGAGTGAATATATTTTTACCTGTAATAAATCATATCGCTCTATTTGTCTTTCAATTTCTAAATACTGTTCTTTAGCGACATCTGTTGCTTCCGTATATTTTTTCTTCATTTCTTCTAAGCTCTAAAAGGGAAGCTGACATGTACAATATGAACGAGGAATGGCGCTGCGCAAAAATGAGTATAAAGACCACACGTTCATTCCACATACAGCACATGAAAAACGAGGTCGTCGTGCATTCTGGGAGAACGCGATGGCGCAAGAAAATCCATGTTCTTTACTCGTGCTCGAAGAGCTAAAATAAAGGACAAGACATTTACATATTTTTTTATTTGGAAAAAGAACTTTTTATAAATGTCATTATATTTCGACTAAAAACAGTTATTTCAAATTTATCTATGCAAATATTTATCAATAGCATACATTGCCTGAAATTCCAATATTGCACCGGTCTTCCAAGCACATAGACCTTATTCATAAATCGTGATGAGGCCTCGTATCCTAGGAAACGGGGGATAACGCGGGAAAATTGACAAGAAAAATTTTGCTGTCAGCGATGGCAGTATTTTTCCGAAAATATATATTTTATTATCCATAAAGCTTGTGCAAGTTGAAATAATACTTCAGAGAAAATATAATGTGATGTTTTAACGTAAAAGATGCTGGGGTCAATTGGAAAAGGAAACTTTTGTTTGTTATAGTTTGTATGGCCAAAACAAACAACCAACAAGGCAAGGGCCTACAAGGCCACAAAACGTCTACAACACCAAAATCGTACAAAATATCAAAGTAGAAATAAGACTGAAGAAATAAGATTACAACTCACACTCAGGTATTGTATCTTTTACTTTTTAAACTTGTAAGCTGCTTGCAGAATGTCTTCGAGCCCAGGCACAGTTAATATTTTTTCCATGCGAATCAATAACATTTGACGTTTTCTTGTGATTTTTGAACTCTTGTTTTCTTTCATATTCATATCAAATTATAAAATAAACTTACATTCCATTGTTGTGACTTGCTTTGATTTTTTACGGATGTATTGACGTTAGAATCTCAGTAAAGTACTGTTTTTTCGCTTCTTAATAAACACCACCGCTACGTTGTCATATTTTTAGACTTTCCACACAAAAAAAACAGGACAAAACCGGTCGTTTTTTACTATAGTCGTTTATAGCTTTCGTTGTGAGCACAAAATCTTACAACACACACAAAAATCAAAATAAACAACAAGAAACAAGCCGTTAACGTCGGCACAATAGTATCCTAGATACGAGAACTCGATCACGATTTATGAATAAGGTCAAAAGCAACTCACGTAGTATTTCATATTTGGTACAGTATATCATACAGTACCTTTTCTAAGCGAATCGTCTCTCTTTCGGCCAGTGATAATTTTTCTTCTGATACTTGTAATTTATTTTGATAGTCATTGACTTGATCATTAGCTTCCTTCAACTCTCCTTGTACTTTATTCAGTCTCGTTTCATCCACCACTGGTGACTGGACTGGTCCACTAGTGGTTCGATGTTCTCTAGACGGTATAGGTGGGGCAGACTGCACAGTTACTTCTCTACTTGGTGATATAAATAGATCGTTTGAAGGAATTATGTTCGGTTTCGTGAGTATTCCGGCTTGGTGCTGCATTTGTTGGGTAGGCGTACCTCCATGGGAGGCAGTTAGTTGGGAGGGTACATCACCTTTCAGAGGACGTGGGTGGATGGGTAGGGCCGTGTGAGAGGGTGGTTGTTGGGTAGGTAAGATTCCTTGAGAGAGAGACATTTGCCCTGGTGCACCACTCTGAGCTGTACTAAGTGTGGCATATTCTCCTCCGGAGTCACCTAGCAAAAGATTACCAGACTGTGTCTGGGGTAAAGAAGATGCATTGCTGGTCTGTTCACTGCTAGTTGGGAACGCTGTTGTTTGTACCGGGAATGTCGCTTGGGCATTGGTGAGCGGTGGGGAAGGTTGTTGTTGAGAAACGGCCGGAAATGCTGTAGCCCAAGGGAATCCTGCAGATGCAGAGGAATCTCCAAAGGGATTTGATGCTGGTGATGCAGACTAAAATGTACAAAAGACAGCAACATTACAAGGGTGCATATACAATCACCATTTGCTCCAGGGAGGGGGGTGGCGGCGGACGCGAGGTATTTAAGGAAAGTGGCACTAAATGAGGAGATACAGATAAAATCAAATACGCATATAGAATGTTTGAAATGTTCTTGCACATGCATAGTGCATAATTTTTGTTTTTCTAAACAATCGGCAAAAAATTGATGAATTTTTCGCAAAATTCCCTCGTTTTAATGTGGTGAAAGAACAAAAATAAATACAATGTAGGAGTGTTAGAGTTATGCGTGATCGTAATGAGTTAGCTTTTTAATTAATATCGATTTTTAAGTACAAGTTTTTCGTCGTTTAGGTTGTGTGGACAGGTATTTTCTTGCTAACCTTGGAGAAATAAATAAATATGCAACACTGTGAGCATGTACTGTGTAAATATACTTTATGTAGTACGAATTATAGAGGTTTTAGTGTAGATTGATCAAGCAATTTTACAGAAAATTTTATGCGGTCTTTTCGGGAGACCTGTGGTAACACACAGTCAGCTCAAGAGTAACAAGCTGTAAAGATAAAAAAATCTTTACAACTTGCTCAGTGCAATTGCTTGAATTCTTACCGGCAAGGAATATGCAAGATGTGCACGAACGATAGTGAGATAGATTGTTTGCTTCGTGGCTATAGTAAAGGTGCAAAAGCCGGTGTGCAAAGCCGCTAAAGCACACCTGCACATCTTGCATATTCCTTGCCGGTATGGCAAGTTGCTTTGCGACTTGCACAAATGTCAACGCTTTATTTAGCTTTTGGAAATTAGGCATTGCGTTGGCCGTTGGGGTTTTTCTAAAACAGTGTTTCATATATTATACAATGGCGAGAGACGGCGTCATGGTGACCTCTTACTTACTATTGCAGAATGACCTCTCTCTATTGGTGAGGTTCAAATCTTCCTGTCATGCACAGTATGGTAATCATAGTATGGTCATGTACAATAATACCAGTATGGTAATCATAAACTGATTAACTCATTGGGTCCCAGCAATCTCCCGTTAATTGACGAGTAAAAATTGTTTCGTGTTAGACAGAGTAAAATAACAAAGTAGGGTCCATTAGGGCGCCATTAATTAATATTCAAATCCTGATTTAATTTGTCAATGAATAGAGTGGTAGTAACAGCATCTGGGTCATTTTAAGAAAGGCTAATGATGTTGTTCGGTCCACTAATATCACCATCTCAACATTCCAGGCTAATCAAGCAGGGTCAGGGAGATATTTTGAAAGGTGGTGGACCTCAATGGCGCAGGGACAAATTTTCGTCGGGGGCAAGGAACAAATTTTTAATTGGGGGCCCCTATTTTTTTCCAAAAATATTGGCGAGCAACGGGGGTGGGGGGGGTACAGTACTTAGTAATACTTACTTCAAATCCACCAAAATCAGCCCAGTCATCATCACTTCCCTAAAAAGTTTCCATACAAATACAATTATAATATATCCAGGGCTCCAAATGGCATTTCTCTCGTGCCTGGGGTTAGCCTAATATTTGTTTTGTTGCCTAATTTTTCAATTTTTTTATTGCGCAATAAAGCAATTTTGCATCAATTGCATGTACCGGCCCTTTTTCGTGAACCGCTTATTTTTTATTAATTTAAATAACTGTACATTTTAATTTAAAACAAAAAGTCTCTTGCGGCTCTGCGAGTGTATACCAAACTTGAGAAGTTCAAACCACTTGACACTGTCTGCAGTTGCAGGGTTGCGCAATAAATTAATGTTGAATCATTGAACTATTATACTTATCACGACAGTGACAATGCTGTTCCTCTATAGAACTTAGTAGTAATAGTAATATAGTAATAACAATTAAGATCAAACAATACTTATTTTAGACACAAGACAAAAAGTGTTGTGCATATATATTCTATTAATGAGTCAATCTATACCTTAAATCTTTGAACGCAAATTATTATAATGCCAAATAGCTAGGTATGTTAGGCATGCAGATGTTTACTTGACCGAGGAGTTTGGCTGCTTGAGAAGATTGAGAACAACCTAGTTTTTAGTGCGCAAGGGCCTAGAAACAACCTAGTTTTTAGTGCGTAGGGCCTAGAAACAACCTAGTTTTTAGTGCGCAAGAGCCTGAGAACAACCTAGAGTCATTAAAACTAGGTTGTTTCCAGTTTTCTCGCATAACAAAATAGGCAATGACATCTTGTCACGGTTGGAAGCCAATGCGTTGACAATCGTAATAAGATTACAATGAAACATGATCTGACTATCTTAAAGGGTAATGGCAATAAAAATTTTTATTGCTTTATCTGAAAGAGCATGAAAAAATAAGCCGATTGGCCGTTTACTGCTCTATTCTATCTCATCTGGTTCCGAAGTTATACGCAAAAATGTGCAAAATATAAATTGCTGATTCAGCACAACGTGTGACGTCATTGGTAGGGTAAGTATGTTTAATGAATAGTAAACGAAGCATAGCTCAATTATTATTGGCTCAAATCAAATGACATTTCGCGTACACATAGTACATGATGAGACGCATGGGAAAATGCTTCTAATTTTGTTGTCAAGGCAACGCAGTCGTTCCCAGGCCCCTTACACTGATTTTGAATAACTGGTTGCATTTATCTATGTGTATGTCATTTTCGAATTATTATCATGCAAGTAAACTTTTGGCATGTATAGGTATGGTACACATACTTCTGACATTATTTTATTCTTATAAGTACCATGAATAAAGCTGTTTTATAAAATTGGCGCAAGGGGCCTGGGAACGACATTGTTACCTTGGCAACAAAATTAGAAGTGTTTTTCAATGCGTCTCATCATGTACAATCAATATCCAAAATTTCATTTGATTTGGGCCCATAATAACTGAGCTATGCTTCAGTTTAATATTCATTAAACATACTTACCCTACCAATGACGTCACACGTTGTGCTGAATCAGCAATTTATATTTTGCACATTTTTGCGTATAACTTCGGAACCAGATGAGATAGAATAGAGCAGTAAACGGCCAATCGGCTTATTTTTTCATGCTCTTTCAGATAAATTATAATATCCTTTAAGCCTTTTAGATCAGCCATCAGGGTATAAATATAACACATATATGCGGTTGTGAAGGCAATGCGTAAGCTGCTTATAAACTATTTAATTAAAAATTCTAAAATATATAAATTACTATGATAGATTTCAATGCACATTTAACAGTTTACTGCAACCTTTCACTGCCATTATTCAAAGCCTAGTTTGTTCTTTACTTCCTGCCTAATTTTGGAAAGTTTACAAATTAATTGCCTAAATTGGAAACTTTCTGAAAGTGGGGTTTCCAGGCTTAAAGGGCCGCATTTGGAACTCTGATATATCAATGAAAAAGGAGTCTTTCATTTTGGAAATGTACTATTATGTACAAGAAATCATATTAAAGCTACGTTTACACTCTGCGATTAATCGTGTACGATTCGTTTTCTGGCGTATGTTATTGAGTAAACACGTTTATGCTGGCTACATTTGAAATTTTTTTACCGAAAGGGCAATGAATTATGCCGCCAGCACTCATTTTAATACGCTAGAATACGAATCGTACACGATTAATCGTAGCATGTAAACATAGCTTAAGAGAGAACATTACAATAGGAAGAGAGGGGGGAACCTCTTTCAATAATTTGTGTAAATAATTAATCATTTAAAACAATAATTTAAATAAATGAGTCACTATAAGTAACTACTGAAGTAATAGACCTTTCCAAGGTTTCTACCGCCATATTGCAGGGGGTGCAAAAACATTGGGGCGAGCGCGCGGCCACCAATGGCGCCCATACTATTTCCTATTGAGTGAGTGAAAAGTACCTTTTGATATTTTGTCCTTTTTCTCAAAAAAGTTCTATACAAGCATATCCAATTTTTATTTTTAGATAATCGCTGAGTTTTTTCTGATATGTGGCCGAGATTTCTTGCTAATCGAAGGACAGGAAGTAATAAAAAACGGCGGCTTTTGTTGCACAACTTGACCGACGTTTGAGCGACGATTCTTATTATTTCGTTTGTTTAACCGATCTTTGGAAGAATATTTGTCCATTAAGTGTGTAAGTCCTTTGGTTCCGCCATTATTACTGTTTATATTTGTATATTTGTACAAAAATCATCGCTCAAACGTCGGCCAAGTTGTACAACAAAAGCCGCCGTTTTTTATTACTTCCTGTCCTTCGATTAGCAAGAAATCTCGGCCACATATCAGAAAAAAACCAGGGATTATCTAAAAATAAAATTTGGATATGCTTGTATAGAAATTTTTTGAGAAAAAGGACAAAATGTCAAAAGGTAATTTTCACTCACTCAATAGGAAATAGTATGGGCGCCATTGGTGGCCGCGCGCTCGCCCCAATGTTTTTGCACCCCCTGCAATATGGCGGTAGAAACCTTGGAAAGGTCTATTTGTAATACCTGTATGGTATTACAAGTATTATTCACGTATTATGGTATTACAGGTATTATTCAATTATTCACATCATCAGGTATACTTACAAAATGCGAGGTAAGGTGGGCAAATGTTGGCAAAACTGGCGGACATGCATATTGTCGGAGTTATTGTAAAATTCCTGCGTCCATTGAGAGAGGTTCAATCATACTGATTCGGTGTAAATGTTTGTCGATTATACTGTATATAGTGAGGAACGTTTAAAATTTACATCAGCGTAAACATAGTGATTAATAAAAGCTAGATCCCGTCGTGAAATCTCCAGGTATCTCGGTGGGCTACAAACACATATACATATCTTGCACATATATAATGCTGAACTAGGGTTCACAGCATTGTCAGTTTATGAATTCTTAACAGAAAAGATGGACGCAACCGAGTACAAACCAAGAAGTAACAACTCTACCAGAATCGTGATTTTATAAAGACTTTTTTATGTGTGGAAAGGAATGTCTTTAAAAGATTCGGTCAACTTACCATTGACTTATTATATGTAAGTTCATTTAATTTATAAGAGATCTTTGTATAAGTCAATTAGACAAGATATATTGTGTTTAACAATGTTACTAACTGTTCGACTGTAACCGAATGTTTGCTTAAATAAATAAAGAAACGAATAGTTTTAAATCAGTTTAATTGCATGTCTGTCTTGCGCAAAAACCCTAATTTACACTTTACCCCAGTAGTCAAAATTCCTAAAAAAACGCCCTGACTGCATTGACATATGTACGGTTAGCAGTTGATTAGCAGAAGCATATACAGTTATGTGACAAGAAAGCAGCGAGACAATGTTCTTGTTTCACTGACAAAGGTGCATGTAGCCACAACCATGAACGCCCCAGTTACACAATACCGCATGAGCATCGGAGCGACATCAAATTTTATATGATATTTCATATGATAACAGAATTATGTTTGTGATCTTACTTTGAGTGTGCATCCCAACCGGGCAAGCTGAAAAGTTTGCTTGACCACGGTGGGAATCGAACCCGCGACCTTTGGGATACTAGCCCAATGCTCTATACCAACTGAGTTATAGGGCCTACGAGGTGATGTGGTTCGAGTTGGTGATATTTCAGAACTATAGTTCCTTCGATATCAATGTATTCTAAGATATTACCACTTTCTGCATACAAACTAATACAGTATGGTCATCTTTTACAATACCCCTAGCCTGTGTAGGGGTAACCTGAGATTGAGACAAAAGCTAATGGAATTTTTACAAGTCATAAAAGTATAAGATGGAAAGGGAGAAATTCCCACTTACATAAAATTTCACAGTATTGGGAAAGTGAGCACATAGATGTTTCCTTCAATTTTACCATCTGTTCCCACTCGAAGGAACTAGACTGTGTTCCAAAATATCGTCAAATCAAACCGACTTGATCTCGTAGCTCAGTTGGAAGAGCATTGGACTAGTATCCCACAGGTCGGGGGTTCGATTCCCATCGTGGTCAGGCAAGCTTTTCAGCTTTCCCTGTCACACTCAGAGTAACACCACAAACATCACATTCACCTGAGTACATAACAGAAATGATCGTAACAGACTTAGTCAAAAACTTCAAATACGAAAAGCCACAAGAGGCCAAAAAGCCTTAGTTGATGTCGCTCGATTCACTCCGATGCGAATCCTGTATCGTGTAACTGGAGCCTAAGTGTGAAAACTCGAAGTATCCAGAGGCTAACCTCGGAGTATCCGGAGACTCAATCAATCAATCAATTTTATTTAAAATGACATCGGAGTATCTGGAGACGAACCTCGGAGTATCCGGGGAATAACATCGGAGTATCCGGAGACTAACATCGGAGTATCCAGAGAATAACCTCGAAGTATCCGGGAGTAACCTGCTGTGTTGATATTGGTAAATACACCCTTATGAATGTTTCCCAGCTTAAAAACTAAACGTCTAAGCACATTGCTGAAAGGCAGCCATTTCTGCCGAAGCTCCCGACATCATTTTACGATGTGGTGACAGTGCTGTGGATAGTCAAATTTTTGTCAAGGAAGCTTGAAAAATATGCCTGGCCACGGTGGGAATCGAACCTACGACCTTTGGAATACTAGCCCAATGCTCTGCCAACTGAGCTAGGTCAGGTGACTCAGGTCGGTGTGAATATATGCTCAGAGTATACATCACAAGCATCAATCTTCTGAATGCCGCGAATGATAGGGCCAAATCAATTTTACGAGATATTTGCACTGGTGATTCAAAATTAGTACAACTTATTATTTTGTGTGTGTTGGTGTTATGTACGCAGGTGAATATGATGTTTGTGATGTTACTCTGAGTGTATATCCACACCGGGCAAGTTGAAAAGTGAGCTTGGCCACGGTGTGAATCGAACCCGCGACCTTTGGGATATTATATACAGGGTAGTCCAACTTACTTCACATATCCGCGTTTTCGTTTACAAGGTGGTTAAAAGACGCCGTAAATCACTGCAGACTTTAAATTTGACACATGATGGATATAATGCATAGGCAAACTCTTTGTTTCCCGTCAAAACAGTAATTTTTTAGAAAAAAAAACATAAACGTATCGCACATGCAGTTTTTCATGATGGACTGTATCATTGAAAGAGAAATAAGGGAAAAGTTGTCTTTTCTTCAATACGCATCGGTTTTTGGAAACAAAACGGTGTCAAACAGCCTTAAAGGAAGGAGAGGAAAACAACAGCAAGTCGGTATTGAAGTGAGATTTTCAGCGTGTAGGGCAAAATTTAGGCCTTAAAAACCACCGTTACAAGTTGAATTTTTTGTTTAGCAAAGAACTTAATACAAATCTCGGAAAACAGGATGTTTCTTTGCATGCTTGTGCTGTATAAAATGTGCAGTACTCTTACTCTCTTAGTCTCCTTAAATTTTTTGTTAATTAAATATCATGCAATATACTGTACAGCCTAATTTGGAGCCTATCCAATGCTTTCAATCATACTGACACAGCTTTGTTATAGTTATATTCAATTATCATTGAACGGCTTTCAGAAATTATTATGGTTGGCAACCTCATGAGTTTAAAGTACTGTACAAACAATTTCATGACATTGTACATATACTGTATATATTCACTTGTGATAAATGTGATACTATGAATGAAAATTTCAGTTATAAACTTCAAAGACAACTTAGTACAAAACAAAGTACTGTCTGACTTGTTTACCAATATGCAATAATTAAGGAATGAACTGGATTCACTTCACACTTGAGAAAATGTTGCAGTCATGTCCTGTAAATATGTGTAATAGTGCACAATGTACAGTAATACTGGAACACTTCCTGACCAGAAATGGTGCATGTTGTCACAGTACAGAAGTAATCTAACCATATTCTCCAGAATTTGTTTGGTGTAAAATGTGGCAAACAAGTTGTACTGTGCACTGACTCCAGCCTGCATGGAAAGGCTTCCACTACAGTTTTCAAAAATTTAATACTGGTACAAAATAACAAAATGGCATGTGAAGATGATATCTCAATTGCAATCTAAAACCTTCCACACTGCATGTATAGTAAATGAAATTTTAATTTCAATTTTAATTTTAACCTTAAAAGGTTACATCATATGATAGATTCCTGTTTCAGAAAAATTGTCACTGCGTGCTCAGTTTTTTAGTTACGTTTCTCAAATTTGGTACATGCAATGATAACTAACTGTAGAAGCTACTGTTTTAACCAAAATTAACCACCTTTTAACCTGTAGTCGCAATGAGACATCTTTTGAAAAATAGCACCTCTTGCGCCACGAGATTTAACGACAGACCGTTTAACTCAGGAGCCCCCAAAATATCATATTTCTCATCTCAAATGTCCAAAGAAGAAGAGTGTGTTCGCATTTTTTGACAGCTATTGTATTCGCTTTGATATAAAGCAGACAACTTGGCTTATCTTGCGCAGTTATAAGCGGTTGAAGAGATGTTTCTAAATTGAAAAATAATGCACTAAATCAAAAAGGCGAACACACTTTTGTTCCTTTACTGTATTATTGATTAACATTGTGGTCAAGTTTGGGACGAATCGGATAAAACGTTCTGTCGTTAAACTCTTTTTTGTCAAGGAGATTGGGTAATTTTGCTTTTTCTTCAAATGACCATATAAGATTTGGCGAGGTTTCCACTCTTTCTGTCATTTTCTCCGCCCCCAATGTTAATCCACTTGTGGCCAAACCACAAAGTGTGAACTTTGCTGGCGTCAAATATCATGCAAGGTATGAAATTCACTAAAGTATAAGTTATTGTTCGGAGGCATATATCATTGCGACAACATTAGAAAGCTTATAATATACAGTAGTATTTACAGAATCTCTCAAGCTATGCACGATGTTGGCTTCAAGCTTCAAGAGGTCAGACTGACAATCCGAGTTAATCATAATTACAAGTTTGGTGCGAAGCTATTCAGTGGTCATAGCATGTTCCCCTATATCTCGGGTCGCTTTTTAAAATTTTCTTTAAAAAGTTGCTGGAATTGATAGACATATCATTACTTAATAGAACTATACAAAAAATTTTTTTATCAAAATCAGAGTCTCATCATATATTGTAACCTTAACCATGGAAACAGTTACAGTTCACATATTACGTTGCAAAGGCTGTTAGGGTTTAATAGAGATAGGGTTGTAATTTGGGTCAAGAACAAAGAAAAATGTCTGTGTGCGAGTAACATTATACAACAATAAACATGCAGGCAGTTCACTTTAAACACAAATATATATTTCTTTGTTCTTGCCTCTAATCGCAACCACCTATCACCCTTATTTGGCCATGTGACCACAACATAATGATATAACCCCCTCTAGTTACCTATATCACTGCTGCTCAACCACCAACTCAAGAAATACACTTTTGCAAATGTTGTGATTAGAGGTGTGCAAATCCGATCCAAATCTGAATCCGATCCGATCGGATTTCGTTCACATTTCGGATCAGATTGATAAAATTGTTTCGTAGTCGGATCGGATTGGACTTCGATATTGGAATAAAATGAATTAATTATCCATGTATTATCACAAGAATTTAATTATCCATGTGTTTATCAAAGCATTATTGAGGTTGTCACTGTATTATTTGTTTGATACTTCAATTGGACGTCACTTTGTCAGTTTCTTGACATGTATTTCTTGCTTTTATATTTATAAATTTGGTTAAATATTTCAACTTGAATGAGAAATTTATTTTATTAAAGGATTAATCAGAATTCTTTATGAAAACTCAGATCGGATCAGATTTGGATTAGACAATTTCAGATCAGATCTTAAACATTAGCCAATTGTCATATTATAAATGTCCAATCCAATCTGATGCACACCTCTAGTTGTTATGATGCTAAGTGGAATCGATGCATGCTCAGCCACAGATCTATGGCGTACAGAAACAACTCGGGTTTATCCACCGGCGTATGATATTATCAATGATGTAAAACGTGGCATAAACAACGTTGGAGGTGAACCTTTTAAGTAGTGAAATACTGTACTAGTGAACATATTATAGTAAAAATGCAATATGACAATTTTTGTAATGTTACTCCAGATCGACTAGCTTTCATGCCTTACGAAAAAAGTCTACAGGCAGCCTATAGAAAATGTTCCAATTCCCTATAGAAGTCTTCAGGCACCTTTAGAGCTCTATCGCCTTATAAGCATCCCTATAGGTCAGCCCTTGTTTCTGCCCGGAGGCAGTAAAATATTTAGGTTGAACGCCACATTTGAAATCTTGTCTCAGATTTAATCATATCGCATCTTGTAAACAAACAAAGTTTCCGCCATTGTAACAACTTTTTATAAGCAGTTGGGCAGTTTTATAAGGATTCTATCACGGAATGATTAACTTGTGGAAGGTTCGGGAAAAGGCCTTTAAAGTAATTGTTTATATTAATTATATAATTAAAATATAAATATTACAAAACAAGTATAAACAGTGAGAAACATGTCACATGCAAAATATTGATTAAAATATCTCATAAATTGTTAATTGTTTGTCGATGTTACTGTTTATCGATGTTTATATGATGAACATACCTCTTTCTTCGCGCTCTCTGGTGTTTTGAACGCTGCCCAGCTGTCCGCCATTTTCAGGGAAAATTGGAGAATTGAGAATTCCTTGGCAAAATTCCTTGGTAATATCCATAAAATTCCTTAGTTCAATAAATGTCTACCCTGGATTTCCAGAGCCTTCAGTAAATAATAAATTGAAACGTCGTGAAGGCTCTGGTTCAACGGGAGGATTATTTGATTAAAAATTTAATCAAAGAATCCTCCCGTTGAACCAGAGCCCTCGCGACGTTTCAATTTATTATTTACTGAAGGCTCTGTCGCTCTGGAATCCAGGGTAATGTCCAATCGTCGGGCGATACCAAATAGCTCGAAAGCATATATGTTCGAAGACCGGAGACGATACTAAGTTACAGTAATAAAAGTGGCTGGCAACAAATATGTGGGATTGGTGGATTCCACAACTGTATAGCAACACCGAAACACAGTATCATAGCTAACTTGGATATTTATTGGCTTATTTATTCTTTGCTGCACGCATTGTTAATCTGATAATCAAGATATTACAATTTTAATGAATGGATTTTCTGTGGAGGAAAGCAGACTTACTTGAAAATTTTTGAAATAATTTGACTGTTTGGACGTAAAATATTAGACTCGTTCAAAGCTTAAGTGATTGCTGCGCGTTAAATTGCATTCATCGCGACAGAATCGCCAATTTGAAAAATATTTTCGAAATTCTTTCTAATAACGATAAAGAGTTAAAGAAATCTGTTGTTAGGTACTATATTTCTTCTCTTAATAATTCACGACTTTTAATAGGCGCATTCATACAATCAACTCAAAACAGCTTTAGCTTGGAACCAGGGTAGGTAGATAAAAATTTAGTTGCTTGATTTACAGGTTTCTTTGTTTCTATAGTAATGGCGTCGTGTCATTCACTCGGCACCAGGACTATACGGTCGGAACTAATGAAATATCTAGAGATACTGAGATAGGACACGTTGGGTGAAAGGAACACACACACTAAGACATCAATTAGAACTATATCGTTATGTTATGCTAAATATATTCTATAGCACAAATACATACCTAGTACTTAGATATTACATTGGCGACGAGGAGTAAATCAAAAATTCAAGAACGATGACGTCAGTGTTAAGTTGTTCCTAATTTGGTATGCAACTTCGCATCTAGGTTTCAGGATGTATGTTTTCATTGCATCTGGTAGACTAGCTTGCCATACAAGGATCTGGAAAGTACTTTGGAAAGTCTATGCATCTGATAGCTAGTGGATGGGCGATACCAGCGTTTCTGGTTTCCACACGATACCAGTCCGATACCATGATTGAATTTATCATACTTTTGTAAGTTTCTGTTGCTTTCGATACTTTATCGATAGAATCGCCCATCACTACCATCTAAAAATCTGAAATTATTTGCTTTTTACAGCGCTAAACGCATGCAAATCCTTCAAAAAAGACAAGGAAATCAATATTTTTGAGGTTTGTCACACAACAAAAATCCCATTCAATGCTTTGACATTTTATCCTGACGAGCATTTTACTCTTTTGTAGCATTTTTCGAAACTCGTAAAATACTCGGCCGGATTATAATTTCAAACAACTGATAAGTTGTACTTCATTCATCTGCTTGTCCCGATGAAATTCCTTCTTGGCTTCTCCGGGAAAACGCTTCAGTGTTGTGTCGACCTTTGTGTTCTATTTTTAATTCATCAGTTCGTGAAGGATTTGTTCCCTCAATATGGAAGGCAGCAAATATTACACCAGTTCAAAAATCTTCGCCTCCTAAAGATGTTGATTCTGACTTCAGACCAATCTCCCTCACACCAATTATCAGCAAGATTCTTGAATCCTTTCCCTACAAGTGGCTACTTGACTCCGTCTCAAAAAAAATTGATTCCTTGCAATTTGGTTCGCTGAAGGGTTCAAGCACTAGTATGGCATTAATCTACATGCTACATAAATGGTTTGAAGCAGCTGACAAACGAGGCAACACTATACGGATTTGTGCACTTGATTATGCCAAGGCGTTTGATAGATTAGATCATAACATTCTGTTGGAAAAATTGAAAGACATGGAAATTCATCCCGTGTTACTCAACTGGATCGCAAACTTCCTAACAGGCAGACAACAAAGAACCCGTGTTGGTCAGTTCTTTTCTGAGTGGAAATTTTTAAACGCCGGCGTCCCACAAGGAACGAAGCTTGGCCCGCTATTATTTTTGATCATGATAAATGACTTGGCTGTAGTGGATGAAACTGTTAAATTTGTCGATGATACTAGCCTTTGGGAAATAATATCAAACAATTCCCCTTCCCAGTTACCCGCCAACATCATCAGCTGCTCTGAATGGTCATCAGACAATAATATGAAGTTAAACGTATCAAAGACCAAAGAATTGCGTGTCTGCTTTTCTAAGCTTACCCCATCGTTTGCCCCTATTACCATTCGCGGTCAAGAGGTCGACGTCGTTTCCGAGGCCAAACTATTGGGCGTTGTCCTTTCGGACGACCTCAAATGGAACTGCCATATTGACTACATTTGGAAGAAAGCCGCGAAGCGTTTGTACGGTCTGCGCCTTCTTAAAAGAAATGCTTTACCTTCTCATATTCTGATCTCAACCTATTGTACACATATTCGACCAATTGTCGAATATGCTTGTCAGGTGTGGCATTATGGTCTTCCTCATTACCTGAGTGATCAAGTTGAAAAAATACAAAAAAGGGCATTAAAAATTATTTTCCCTGGAACTATCTATGCTGAATGTTTGCTTAAAGCTAACTTGATGACTCTTTACGAACGTAGAACTGTCCATTGCAAGCGACTTTTTTCGAAGATGTTGGAACCCACTCATAAACTGAATGCCTTCGTACCGCCTAAAAGTCTTCAAACTTATAATCTGAGGTCTTATCCCAACTTATTAGTACCTAGGTGTAGAACTGAACGTTTTTCGAACAGTTTCATTCCTGCTGCGTCTCGTGCTTATAATAAGTAAACTTTAGATTATTATCGTTATTTTTACCTAACTTACCTATTTTTACCTGTAAATATAGAATAGATTAAATACCTATGTTCTTATACCCTGTAATTCCAAAGTAATTCAGTTGTTACTGCTAGTTTGGAAATTTATAATAATAATAATAATAATAATAATATTGGCACTAGCGCAGTGTAAAATTCAGGCTTTTTCCGATCGAAAAAAAGAAGACGATTTTCACAAAAAATGTTGTCGATAGAAATTTAAGAGAAAGGTTATCTGCAATATTATTATACTGCATTACAACTAATGAAATATATATGCATGGGCATATGGATTACGAACACAATATATTTGTTCGTCCATGGGCCGAGATTACAAATCCATAGTATTCTTGTTTATTTGTTGGGGCCTTGTCTGTTGATAATATATAATACAAGAAAACCCTATATTTCAACCTTTATACAGACATACGTCAATTTTTTTCGTAATTGGGTAAAAATATCCTGACTGTGCACTATATATATGTGACTATACAATCTGCGAACTAACACTGGCTTATTTTAGTATACATCATATATCAAAAAGTCTCGTGTTAATACTATATTTCACAATAAATACGCAAAATGGTTAAATAAAAAGATGTTCTGAACCTACTAAGATTATGCGTGCTGTTGTTAATTTCCAAATTATTGAAACAAGTGTAACATATTGAAATGCAATTCTTAATGAGCCAATTGCGGAATGCGCAAAGCATCATGGTAGTTTAGTTACATAGCTGAATTTTCCATCATGGCGCTTGCTTTCTTCGAAGTAGAGTAGACGGTGAACAAATGAAAATTTGAAGAAAAGTTGTATCATTTTCACTTCGATTAAAGCTTTTGCCAAATCTGTACGTCTTGTTCTATATTTCCACTCTGTCTTTGGATTCCCCAAGCGAATGGTGTTGAAATATTTAACATGGCGTACCGAGTTGCTGAAGCGTGAAAGGGCTTCGATTCGATATGGTCAGACACGAATTATGGTATTTTTCACATTGTAAAGGTACGTACTTGGTTAAATTACTTTTTAGAT